CCAGCCTTGATCCTTTTGGGTTAGAATTGACCCCCAACCCACAAAGGATCCAGCCTTGGCTCCACTGGTCCAGCCTCAGTCCTGGCTGGTCTAGCCTTGGCCCCTTTGGGTCAGCCTTGATCCCATGGGTCCAGCCTTGACTATAGTGTCCAGCCTGGGCCCCATGGGTCCAGCCTCAGTCCTGACTGGTCTAGCTTGGAATCCAAATGTCACAGAACAGATACTGTAAGTTTGAGCAAACCATGCCCCACTCCCGCCCAGCTGATGCTCCCACTCTCCACCCTGCCTGCTTCTCCCCACCTCCTATTCCTGGCCCTCATCATGGCTGTGGTTTTACTCATGCCATCAGCTCACATACATCCGTCTTCCTAGTTAGACTAGAAGCTCCGTGCAGGTAGGGAGTGTCTTAGCCACACTGTCCTCAGCACCCATCTCTATGCCTAATGTGAAACTGGCGTGAGCAAACTATTTGGAAAATAAAGACATGAATCACGGACAAGACATATGCATCTCCTGGTGCCTCTTCCCACATCCGGTCTGCTGGGTGACATCCTACACGGAGCTAGTGTCACAGTGAGGCAGTTTCTGGAAACTAACCTGGGGAACCAGCGTACCTGCTGGGCTCACCTTGAGGAAGCGCCGATAGCCTCGCACAGCTGTCTCGGGCAGTGGGTGGGAGCGCAGGAAGCGCAGATACAGGGGCCAAATTCGAGAATGCTGCGTGATGGGCAGTGCCCGGAGGGCACGGTCGAAGGTGCGGCGGGTGTGTGTGACGCGCCCCTGGTCCATGAGGAACTGGCAGTAATCTAGCCACAGACGGGGCATCTGGGGGTGTGGGGAGAGGCGGTTGGGGCTAAGCCACGGACTCCATGGCCTAGCCACAGACACTTGGTGTCCTGTGGCTGAGTCGCACCTGGGGCCTCCACATAAATGCAGCAGGACCCAGAAACCCCCAGCTCCAGGACTGAGTCCAGCCCAACTTCCCATGCACAGAAGCAACAGGATTCCAAGCCCCCATCCCTAACATGCTGAGCCCAGCCCCGTCCGTACCCCACCCACCACCACGGACTGAGCCCGGCCTCCCGATTTATCCCCTTGCCTAGCCCCAAACCTTGTGCATGAACACAAAGGCCCTCTCATGACAGTTGTTGACATCTTCGTAGGCGGGGTCGGTCACACAGCGATGCTTCACCTGTGCCCGACGTGCCTTCAGGTATCGGTACCAGAGTTTGTAGCTGGGGAACAGGAGGGGACAGATGCTGATCGGTCAGCTTTATGGACTCTCCGAGAACCATCTGCCCTGCCCCTCTTGGCAAATGTGGGTGTGGGAGGGGTGACATGTCTCAGCAATGATAGGGACAGACTGGGACATCAGAGGAGGTGTGCTGACCCATCAAGGGATGTATAGGTCAGTGATGGGATACAAAGCAATCACCTGGGACCTACTTGGCAGTTTTGTTATAACTGGACCAGGTGGGGCAGGGGCTGGTGGGCAGGGCAGCTGGAGCCATTCCCACCTGCAAGGTAGCAGCTTGAGTGCCCGCTCATATAGCTGATTGAGCCTGGGCTTCGGGGCGCCCTGTTTGAACTCGATGTAGCGAAGCCAGCATTTGACAGAGAACTGGTTCCGCATGATTTCCTCCTCATAGGGGAGGTCCTCTTCCTCCTGCCAGGGCCACGGAACGGGAAGAAAAGAGGCCTACCCTCAGAGCCTGTGTGCAGCACCACCCCACTACTGGGGCTGAGGTCCAAACTCTGGACTTTTACCCAGATCCCACCACCCACCAAGGAAGTCAGGTCACCAGATGCCCAGACACCAAACCAGGCACCAAACCAGATGCCCAGACACCAAGACACTGGCCCAGACCTTTACCCCTCAGAATTCAACTACCCAAAATTGAACCCAAATCATCAGACTTCTCAGTTATTAGGGCTCTGGGCCAGGCATGAGTCCACATCACCACTCGCTTTCTGCCCCAAATGGTCAGACTCCTTAGCTACCAAGGCCCTGGCCCAGATGCCAGGCCTCTGTCCTGGACACCAGACCCCACTTCTTCAAAACATGCCTCTTCCCAGACACCAGGCCTTTGGCCCCTCAGGCTCCTACTGTCACCAACTGACCCATCTCCACTCCAGGCCCAGACGACCAGATCTTCACCCCAGCCACCAGGGCTCTCAGGTCCAGATTTCAAGCCACTGGCCCCACCCCCAGGATCCCACTAGCCAGCATCTAGCTCAACTCTGCCCCAGAAGTTAAAAGCTAGGCCTTTATCTCATAAGAGCAGTTATACACCAGAAGCCAAGCCTTTAACTCTGCACACCAAGAATCTGGTGAAGATGTCACGCCTCTACTCCAGACAATAAGCATTTCATTGGCCATTGCCTGACAAGCTCCACAACACCAGGGTTCTTCTAGCCTGGCCACCACCCCCAGAAACTGTCATGCCGCAGTCCAGGCCTAGAGACCGCTATCTAGAAAACCAAGCCTTCATTCCAGAAACCGGAGCCCTGGCCTCGTAATCACGCCTTTACTTCAGACACCTGTCTTCACTTCTCAAGGTTCAATTATGCGATCTCCTTCCTCTCCCATTCCCTGCAAGCCCCCATTTCCGCCCCTGGCTCGGGAGGCTAGACGCTTTCCTTCGACAGTAGTTTTCTACTCAGACCCTAAGACACAACACCGTATTTTTTACTCCTGGCCAGTTAGGTGTGGACATCACGATCCGGTCTCTGGCCCGTTAGGGTCCCCAACCCTTGGCCTGGCAATTTTGGCCTAAATCCCCTTGGCGACCCGGCCCCGATCCCCTGCGGCGTCCAGGTCCCAATGCCCCAACGCAGGTCACCCCTGGCTCCTCTGTGGACTCACAAAGACAAGGTCCGGCCGCTCGGGCCGCGAGAGTCGCGCCATCACCACCATTTTTCTGGATGCCCAGGTGCAGGCGAAAGTCGCGCGCTTATGACGTCTAGCACTGACGGCCCGCCCCTCCGGGCCAGACCCGTTTTCTATTGGTTAAATCCTTTTTGACGGACAGGCTCACGTTATTGACTTCGTTTCGAAGACGCCAGCGACCGGAAGCAACATAGAGGCGCCCGAATGTACGTCATCAGGATACACATTGGCCAATCAGCTTCAGCAATGGAACGTGCAAAACACCAATGAGCTTCTGTCTTGCTGGAGGGTCGGCTTTGGGCGGAAGTTGCTTTGTTGACCGGGAGAAACGAGATGGGGGTGAAGCTGGAGATATTTCGGGTCAGTGGACACAGGAGTGGATTGGGAGGCTGGGCAGGGGATCTTCCTGAATCTGAAGATGAGGCTGGAAATGGGGGGCTTAAAAGAAAGAGGGTGCTCCAAGGAGAAAGCTCTTAAGATTTGAGAGGGACCTTTCTGGTTGGAAATCCAGGAGAGGGGACGCTGGGTTGGGGGGGTTCTCAGATTTGGGCTTCTGGGTTTGGGGGCTGTGAGAGAACTGGTCCGAGGAAAGACCTCAGAGAGGGGTTGGCTGAGAAGGGGGTTCTAAAGAAGGAAGACTTAAGATCCTGGGGGAGCTCTCGGGCTTGTGGTGGGTGGGTGTCTATGATAGGGAGACTCCCAGACTTCGAGAAGTGGAGTTGAAGAGTGACGCCTCCTGGGTTTGGGGGTGCTCCCGGGATCTTAAGTGGGGATGAGTAATGAGGTCTCGAGGAGATGCTTTTGATTGTAGCTGGGGCCTCTGTATGTCTGTCTGTCTTTGAGAGGAAGACTCCACCTCAGGGGCGACTTTCAGGAATGAAGCCTCCTGGATTATAGGAGTTAGGTTTTAGGATGCGAGGTTTCTGTACCCTTGGTGGGAGTTCTGGGGTTCTTGGGTCGGCCCTAACGAGGCGCTTCTGGACTCTGCAGTAGGATGGGTCCCCCAGGCTCTGAGCAGCCTCTGCACATTGCTTGGGGGGAGGGGGGCGGTCACCTCACCCACCCTCTGCCATTCCAGATGATAATCTACCTCACTTTCCCTGTGGCTATGTTCTGGGTTTCCAATCAGGCCGAGTGGTTTGAGGGCTACGTCATACAACGCAAGGTGGGCATAAGAGGAGTGTTCGAGGGTTCACTCCAGGGGTGGGAGAGGGTGCGGGGCACCAATCTGCTGGGGACCAATGTCTGCCTCCCATGAGCTGACCCTACCCTGGTGTGGGGCTCTGGAGGCTCTTGGCTTGTGTCCCAGTTGTGACTTTTTCTTACAGAGGGAGCTGTGGCCACCTGAGAAGGTAAGTGATCTCCTCTTCTTCCTGCCAGAGGGATGGAGGAGGCTGGATACTTGTATCCGAGATGGGTTTCAGGTGAAAATTTTAGGCCAGGTGCAGTGGCTCATGGCTGTAATCCCAGGGCATGGGAGGCCGAGGTGGTGGATCACTTGAGGTCAGGAGTTCAAGACCAGCCTGGCCAACATGGCGAAACCCCATGTCTACAAAATTACAAAAATTAGCCGGGTGTGATGGCAGGTGCCTATAATTCCAGTTGCTCGGGAGACTGAGGGAGGAGAATCACCTGAACCCCAGAGGCAGAGGTTGCAGTGAGCCCAAGATCGCGCCACTGCACTCCAGCCTGGGCAATAGAGCAAGACTTCGTCTCAAAAAGGAACATTTTACTCTCAGCCATGAGTAAGGAACCGAGAGCAGAGGAGGAGATGGTTTCCTTATTGCCTTCTCCTGGAAGAGTGAAGCGGATCCCCCTTGGACCCCTTTGTCATTGGCAGGGGGCTTCCAATGAAGACACTGAAACCTGAAGCTGTGGTCTGGGGCAGGGTGGTGGGAGAGTGGTAGAGGGATCCCGGCTAACCCTAACCCCTCCCCCCTTCCTGTCCCACCCACTTCTCCACCCGTAGCTTCAAGAGATAGAAGAATTCAAAGAGAGGTTACGGAAGCGGCGGGAGGAGAAGCTTCTTCGCGATGCCCAGCAGAAATCCTGAGGCCTCCAAGTGGGAGTCCTAGCCCCTCCCCTGATGAAATATACGCATACTCAGTTCCTTGTTACTCATGGAAGTGTTTTATTCTTTTTATTCTTTATCAGTTTTTGGGGGCCGAGTAAGGCCCAGGAGGCCTCAGGCCCTCAGGGGGCTTGTGTCGGGGGCTGGGGGCTGCTGTTCCGACGGAAGCCGAGAGCGGTCGGGTCCTGAGGGGTGAGCAGGGGTTGAGGACTGAGGGTCCCAGCTCGTTTCTGCGCTCCGTCCTGTGGATGAAGAGGGGTCAGCCAGGGGAGGGCTCAAGGGCAGTGCCAGCCAGAGGTGGCGAACTTTGGAGAGAGGGTGTGGGTGGGCACCGTGTCCCATCTCATCCTGAGCACTGGTCTATGTTTACCTTCAATATCTGCCATTTAGGGTGGCATTTGAGCGTAAGGTGGCAGGTCTTGGGACCCTCACTGGGGTCCTGATCAGAACCCAAGCTTTGTGTATGTGTGAAGTCAACACATGTGAGTATGCAGATGTGTGTGTGTGTGTGTGTATATATATATATATATATATATATATATATATATATCCTATGTGTGAGCTCACGTGCCCTCCTCCCTGAGGTATCCTAGGAGGGGGTCCTGTTTTCTCCCTTTGGCCTCCCCAGAACCTTTAGACTTGGGGGCAGGAGCCACAAGTTCCAGCCATGGGTCTGACACTAGCATGGCCCCTATATAACCTTGGGCCCCTCTAGCCGCTGCCTGGGCCTTGGTCCTCCCATCTGAAGTCAGGGCAGCGGATGGACAGAGGTGGGGCAGGCCCTTTCCCTCCCGGCTGGGGTGGAGGGCAGGATTGGAGCACTGCCTAGTGGGTTTCCCCTTGGCATCGCCAGAACATCACCTACCTTGGGCCCCACGGGCTGGAAGCCGGGCAGGCTGCTGACTGTCACACGTTGGTCATCCATGCGGCGGCCCTGGGTGCTGGCCAGCATGTCCATGAGGCTGTCCATCTCAGGGGTGGGGTCGCTCTCTGTGTGGACATTCACAGACTTGGGAGGACACAGCCGGACTGGGGGCCCCCAACCCTACCCCTTCACCCCCATGCAGATGCTTCAGGTGCACCACCGCCTCCCACACCCCGTGCCCCCAGGCCCTCCAGGTGACCACGCGCCCTACACTCCCACCCTGTTCATGCCCCATGGACAGCACCCCCGTGCCCGTGCTCACGGCTCTTGGTGGTCTGGCCCGGCCCAGCCTGCAGTGAACAGCGCTGCCCCTCCATCCGGTCACCCTGCACGTGGCTCAGCAGATTGAAGAAGCCCTCCTGGTCTGGGGAGCCCGCCTGCGGACAGACCCACTCAGTCCGGTTGGCCCTTCAGCTTGGGGGCCCCTCCCCAACCTTCCCAGCCAGCCTGCTCACACCCGACCCCGGGGCCTGCTGTCCCCTCTTCCTCAGCTCTCACCATGGTCCCCGCCGATCCGCTCTGCAGAGCTGTTCTGAATGAGACGTGAGTCTCCTTCCCAATCCCGGCCCCCGCCCCAGGGGCCCCGGCCGGCAGTGCCACTTCACGTGGTACCGTCTCAAGGGACAGGCTCCAATGCCAGTGTCCTGCCGTCCTAGATTAGGGCCTGATGAGTGTGGCCTGGGAGCTGGGACATGAGTCAGGGAAACATGGCCCAGGAGCTACCCCCAGGTCCCAGTATCTCCCATCAATAGGGGTCCACACAGAGAGCCCTGCCCTCTGCCCTGGGGCCTGGCACTCAGACCTCCAAGCCCACCAGCCCCTTTCTACAGCCACAACTGGGTCAGGGGGTCCTAGGAGACTCACTCGCTAATTAGGTGCCCTACAAACTAATTAGTCTTGTCAATCATGGGCTCTGAGACCTTGAACTGGGGGTGGGGTGGGGGCAGGGCCTTCTCACCTCGGCACAGGGGCCTGAGCCCTCCTCCGTCTTCTCCTCCTGATCCATCATGTCCCTGGACTCCGGTCACTTTCCTGCTGGCCTCTGCCCCGGCCCAGTGCCAGAGAGGGCCTTTTAAACGTCTGGGACGTGGGGGTGTGGATTCCCCCATCCCCAAATCCCCAGCTCATGCCCCATCTGCTCCCACCCAAGCTTAAGCCCCATAAAGATCATCCAGATAATTGTTTGCCCACAACGATGCCGGATCTGGCATGGGGGGTAGGGGGCAGGGCGACCGGAGCTTGAACCTCGCTGGGCCCAGCAGCAGTGACCGGACCCCAAGTACTCCCGGGTGTGATGTCACGAAAAGCCTGAGCAGCGTCCCCACAGTTGGAGAAGGGAAGCCAACAGTGTAGGGTGGTAGCTGGCTTAGGCGAGGACTTGGCAGGTGTCCCCACCCAGCCACCCAGGTCCCCTCACTGGCTCCTGGAAGGGCAGCTGCCACCTGCAGTCAGTAGAGAAAGAAGAGATTGGAGTCAAAGGCCCCTTCCCTCCCTCCCTCCCTCTCTCTCTGCACCTGCCTCAGATGCCACCCTAGCACCAGCTCTGTCTCCTTGGCAGCAAGTCAAGGGGTCTCCCAGCCACCCTTCCCTTGACTCACTGTCCCTGGAGCCTGGCTGCCTGCCCCAGACCCCAAAACAAGAAAGTCTGGGGTCTCCTGTTCCCACACCACCCACATGCCAGGTTGAGCTATCTCCTATCGATCACCCCAGCCCCAGGTGGAAACAGGAGGTGAGACCTCCTGGGGACAGGCAGGTGGGGAGAGGACGTCCCTGCCTTCTTCCCCAAGCCACTGTGGCTTTCCCTCAGTGCCCGAGAAGGGGATGCCACTGGGAAGTCCCCATCCCCTTCCCTGCGCTCCCCAAGATGCCTTTACAGAAACCAGTGGAAGTTTCATCTCAGAATGAATGGACTGTCCTATCACCACCTCTGTCTGAGTCTCCCCTGTTCCACAAAGGGCCAAGTTCACACTCTCTCCCTCTATGCCAACCAAGTGTCCCCCTCCTCAGCACAAGTATCCCTTTCCTAGGCCCGCCAGAACAAAGTGTCACAGACCAGATGGCTTAAAGCAACGTAAGTTGACTTTCATTATGTATTTTTATATAGAGATGAGGTCTCACTATATTGCCCAGGCTAGTCTCAAACTCCTGTGTTCATGTGTTCCTCCGGCCTGGGCCTCCCAAAACGCTGGGATTACAGGCATGAGCCACCATGCTCAGCCTTTACAATGTTTTTTAACAGAAATGTATTGAGCCAACGTTCCAGAGGCCAGAGCCTGAAATGAAGGTGTTGGCAGAGCTGTGCTCCCTCTGAAAACCAGGTCTCAGGAGCCCTCTTTGTCCCTCCCTGGCTGTTGGCAGCAGCCTGCCGTCCTTGGTGTCCTTGGCTTGTCACTGCGGCTCTTCACTCCCTGCCTCCGTGGTCACATGGCATTCTCCCTCTGTGTCCTGGTCTTCATACACCCATTCCCCCACTCCCCAACCACCTACGCAGAATCAGGCAGCCATATAAGTGATATTGCATTAGGAGCCCATCCTACTCCAATGTGACCTCATGCTCACTGCTAATATCTGTAATGACCCCATTTCAAATAAGGTCCTATTGTGGGGTATTGGGGATTAGTACTTCATATCTTGTGGGGGTTGGGGTGGAGTGATTGGCCCTATCAGCTCTCCCTCCCCTCAAGAGGTCAAGCTGAGAAGCTGGAGGCGGTCCTGTCTTCTGTCCTTCCCCTCAGGACCTGGAGGGTTCCCTGCCTTCCCCTGCTCAAAACTCTTCCCTTGGGTTTTATCTTCTCAAGACCAAACCCAAACCCCTTGGGGTCGTGGAAATGTTCTAAAGTGGATTGTGGTAATGGATCACACAACTCCAAAAATACTAAAAGCCATTGACTTACGCACTTTAGGTCAGCAAGTTGTATGGTATGTGAATTATGTCTCAGTAAAGCTGTTAAAAAAGGAGGAAGGGGCAGGGTGTGGTGGCTCATACTTAAAATCCTAACACTTTGGGAGGCCAAGGCAGGAGGATCCCTTGAGCCCAGGAGTTTGATACCAGCCTGGGCAACATAGGGAGACCCTGTCTCTTAACAATGACAACAACAACAAAATCAGCTGGGCGAGGTGGTCCCAGCTACTTGGGAGGCTGAGGTGGAAGAATCCCTTGAGCTCAGGAAGCAACAGAGCGAGACCCTGTCTCTTTACACAACAAAAACAGAAACAAACAAAAACGGGGAGGAGGGAGAAGGAGGAAGAAAGGAAGGGAAAAGGAGAGGAAAGGAAGAAATAGCTCAAACTCCTACCTACGGTCACCAGCCGTCCTGGTTTGCCCGTGACTGTCCTATTTTTAGCACTGAAAGTCCTGCATCCTGGCACTGGGATGGGTCAGTCTGACCTTGTCCTACAGAACTCTGGCCCCTGCTGCCCCCACCCTCCAGCCTTCTTAAGCTTGGGGCCCCTCCGTTCTCTACCTGGACATGCTGTGTAGATGCTTCTAGAATTCATTCAGGGATAATGTCAAAAGGCTGCTTCTTCAGAGAGGTCCTCGGGGGTCACCCTCAATAAAGTCCCCTCCCACCCCTACCTTTCATGGCACTTGCTGTCACATCAGTTTATTTCCTTTAGGGCAGCATGGATCCCTTCCTTTCTCCGCCAGACCTTCGGGTCTGATTCACTCTCTGTGTCCCGTGTAAGTGGCAGGGGGCTTGGTACCTTCATCAACACGGTAGAGCGAAGGAACCAGCTCAGACCCGTAAGAATCTGTTTACACACATACCTCGCACCTTAAATCGGAGACCTCATTTTGTATGGGTGCTGCCGGGGCTGTGCCTTCCAAGTAACAGGACACACAGCAGAAGCAGCTCCTGAAATTCCAAGTTTTGTGTGTGTGTGTGTGTGTGTATGTGTCTTGCAAGCATTTGAGGGCGTCACTCACCCCATGTGTGTATCAGCATGTTAATTCGAGTGTTGGTCCACGAGGGTAAGTGTGGCGCCTCCCGGAAGAGGGTAAGGCTGTGACAAGCGCTCCCCAGGGACAGGCTCCTGGCTGGAATCCCAGCAGGCTCACTCGTCGTGGCCTTGGATTAGGTATCGCGCTAAGCCTCGGTTTCCTCACCGGCACCGCAGTCCAGGTCGGGGCATCGGGCAGGACTGAATGAAAATTATGTCCAGGTGCCGGCACACAAGAGGTCTCCAGGCCTCCTGAATCCATCAAAAGTTATCCAAGACGGCTGCTGCTGCTGCTGCCTCTAAACCCTGAAGTACAGAAGACAAGTGGGTCAAGATCCCAGGCCCAGACGGTGGCGGCCCGGTGGCATCGAGTGGGCGCGTGTATCTTGCAGTCACCGAACCTTCCAGGGAAGATGGAGGGATTATTGCCCTGCGATCCCGCTTCGCACGCAAGCCAGGAAGTGTGTGTCTGAACTCCCGTCTGTGAGCGTGTCATCGAGGTGTGCCCCTCCAGCGACTTCGTGCTCGGCAGCGGGGACGCACCTGCCTGTCCTCCCCGCCAGGGACTCAACTTCCTGGGCCTTGGCGAGAACCGACGACGGGGAGGGGCCAGGTGCGCAGGGGGCGGGATCAGGGCCCGCGGGGCGGGGTCCACGTGGGTGACGCGCGGGGCCACGCCCCCACCTTGGGACACACCCGGAAGCGGCGACAGCGGCGCCCCTCGGGGAAGATGGCGCCCTCGGGGCTGAAGGCGGTGGTGGGGGAAAGTGAGTGCCTCTCCGGGGCCGGGCTCTGGCGTCCCGTGGGGGATGGGGTTCGGGGGCGCACGGGCTCTGGGACCCTAGGTTCGTGGCGGCTAGGAGTTGGGAGCCGGGCTGGGCATCCGAGCACCTGACCCTCGAGGGGGCGGGCGGGGACGGGTTCCCAGCTGGACGCCCCCGCTCGCCGGTACTAGAGCACAACAAAATTGGGGGGCCGGACTCCGGGGACCCAAAGGGGACGGGTAGAGGGTGGTGTAGGCTGGGGCGCGGACTCCTGGGCCTCTTAGGGTGCCTGCCGGGGGAGGAGGGCACAGCTGGATGCCCACACTCTAGGATGTCTTAAGCTGGGCAAAGTTCAGGGGCTGGACTCTTGGGACCTCCTGGGGCTCTGGTCAGCGACCCCAGGTGCTGTGAGCGCTCAGGGTACGTGTCCAGGCCCCACAGGGGTGGTGTAGGGGGTGCCTTCCTCCTTGCCCCATTCCCAGGAGAGCCTTGCAGCTGGAGGACCCAGATGTCCAGGCCTCACCAGCCCCCGTTCTTGGGGGAAGGGTGGAAGGCGCCTCTTCCTCCACCCCGAGGAACTCCCCGGGCCTCAGCTGCTCCTTCCGCCCTGGCCTCCTTGATAACAGTGGACATGACACAGTGGACGTGGCTGGGCGGGGCCACCCCGTTACTTCTCTCCACTCTCTCCTCTAGGCAGGCCAGTCTGTAGCTCAGAACCCTTTAATTGGGGGAGATTGGAAAAACAGTGGTTCCATTTTACAGATGAGGAAACTGAGGCCGGAGGTCGGTGGGCTAGCCTCAGCTAGGCATGCCTTAGAGCTGGGAACCAGGGGTCCTACATTTTAGACCAGGGTCGGGGGACTGGCTGAAACCCATACAGCAGGAATACTTGAGGTAGCAGGTGGGGAATCCAAGAGCCTGGCTCTAGAGGCAGATAGAGCTCTGGATGATCCCGGCTCTCCACTTTTCATTCATCTAAAATATGTTTATCCAGTGGCACCTTTTGCCCCGGCACTCTGCCACTTAAACACTCAGAATGCTTAGGTGAGTTGCACGTTGCCTAAGAATCTGTTTCCCTGTCTGTAAATTGGGGGTGTCCCCAGAAGCCACCTCGCAGAACTGGGGGGTAAAAATAAATGGTTCCCGTGTAGTGTCTCATGCCTGTAATCCCAGCACTTTGGGAGGCCGAGGCAGGAGGATTGCTTGAGGCCAGAAGTTTGAGACCAGGTTGGGCAACATAGTGAGACCCCATCTATACTGAAATAAAAATAAATTAGCTGTGGGTGGTACACACACCTGTAGTCCCAGCTACTTGGGAGGCAGAGGCGAGAGGATCGCTAGCTCCCAGGAGTTGGAGGCTGCAGTGAGTTATGATCACACCACTGCACTTTAGCCTAGGTAACAGAGTGAGACCCTCCTCTCTTAGAAAGAGTAAATGGGAATTAAGATGGGGGTTCAGCCCCAAGGCTGAGAAGGCTTGGGGCAGTGGTGGGACCAGAGAACCAGCATTCTGACCCCTCCCCTCCCTTCCCTGCAGAAATTCTGAGCGGAGTTATTCGGAGTGTCAAGAAGGATGGGGAGTGGAAGGTAGGGGCAAGGAAGATGGCTGGGTACCCAGAGGCAGCAAGCCCATGGGGAAGACCCTGAATGTGGGCCTGTCCACATGGGTGGAGTTGGGTGAATGGGTCCTCCCGCCCAGCCAGCCCTTGAAACTGCCCCTCCCACTGCCTTGGCCCCTCCTGGGGCCAGCTGTGGCCTCTTCCGCCTGCTCCTCCGTCCATCTGTCCATCCATCTGGACAGGTGCTTATCATGGATCACCCGAGCATGCGCATCTTGTCTTCCTGCTGCAAAATGTCAGACATCCTGGCTGAGGGCATCACCAGTGAGTGAACGCGTCCCCAGTGAGATGGGACCTGAGTGTGGGAACCCCTGACTGTGCCCCGCTCCCAGGGTTCAGCCCTTGAGTGTAGGATCCCCTCAAATCGTCCAGAACTCCCAAGTAAGCAGCTCCCTGCCGGGACAGCCTTGATCATGTGACCAAGTCAATTTCCTAAATGTTGCAAGCTGACCGCAGGAGCCCATGGATTGCAGACCTCCCCTGCAGGACTGCCTGGCTGCAGCCCCTTCCTAACCGTGCAGCCCCTTCGTGGAGCGCTGTGTGGGACTCCCAGGGTGGACTCTGGATGTGAGGCCCCAAGAATGCAGAGCCTTCTATAGGTGACCCCAGGAGGTGCCCCAGTCTCTTTGCCATTGAGAGACAGGTGCTGAGGGAGCCTGTCCTCTCAGAACCTCAGTTTCCCTGTCTGTAAATTGGGGAACCCAGTTTGGAACCCAGTTGGCTGCACAGCCCCCAAGTGTGCAGACCCGTGCTGTGTGACTCTTAGCTGGGTGACCCCTAGGTATGTTTCTCCTGCAGTCCTTCCTAAGCATCCACTCCCCCTCCCCAAGCCTCCAACTCCCCATACCTGAGACTCCCCATGTGGCCCTGCCTGGATGCCACCCACCTGTGTCCCTTCCTCTGTTCCTACTAGTTGTTGAAGACATCAACAAACGGCGAGAACCCATTCCCAGCCTGGAGGCCATTTATTTGCTGAGCCCAACGGAGAAGGTGCCTACATGAATGAGCGTGTGTATGCGTGTGCATGTGTGTACATGTGCCTGTGCGCATGTGCGTATGTGTGCATGCATGTGTGTGTGCGTGTGTATGTGTGCATGCATGTGTGTGTGCATGTGTGTGTGTATGTGTGCATCTGTGTATGCGTGTGCACGTGTATGCATGTGTGTGTGTGCATGTGTGTCTGTGTGTGCATGTGCATGTGTGTGCGTGCATGTGTATGTGTGCGCGTACATGTGTGTGTGTCTGTGTGTGTGTGTGCACATGTGCCCATGTGGATGCGACACTAGTGTGCATGTACACATATGCATCACCCTGTCCATCCATGTTTGCATATGGTGGCAGATAGGAGGTGGCTGGGAGGCCTGGGCAGACAATGAGCCTGGGTGTGCAAGCTCAGGCCCAGAGAGTAACCCACTTTCCCCAGTCGGTTCAGGCCCTGATCGCAGACTTCCGGGGAACCCCGACCTTCACCTACAAAGCGGCCCATATCTTCTTCACCGACAGTGAGTGAGGAGAGCCCAGGGTGTTGGCGGGTGGGGCAAGGAGGGTGGGGGCTGCCCTGGCCTGATACCCCACTCCTGCCTCACCCCAGCCTGCCCCGAGCCCCTGTTCAGTGAGCTGGGCCGCTCTCGTCTGGCAAAGGTGGTGAAGACATTGAAGGAGATTCACCTTGCCTTCCTCCCCTACGAGGCCCAGGTACGGCCCGGGCTCATCCTGGGCAGGGGGTGGGGATTTGTGACCAAATGTCGCCTGTTGTCTCAGAAACAGACACTGAGGCTGGGCGCAGTGGCTCACACCTGTAATCCCAGCACTGTGGGAGGCCAGGGCAGGAGGATCGCTTGGGGCCAGGAGCTGGAGATCAGCCTGGGTACAGAGCAAGACCCCGTCTCTTAAAAAAAAAAAAATAGAAATTAGCCTGGCATGGTGGTGTGCACCTGTAGTCCTACCTACTCAGGGGGCTGGGGTGGGAGGGTCGCTTGAGCCTGGGAGGTCGAGGCTGCAGTGAGCTATGATTGCACCGCTGCCCTCCAGCCTGGGTGACAGAGCGAGATCCTGTCTCAAAAACAGATACATAAAGTAAAATTTTAAAAAGGGGAGGCACCCACAGAGTCCAAGGAGCTCTTGCCTTGATTTCTATTCCCCTGGGCCCCTGCAGGGGGCAGCATAGAGCGCACCGCGGGGTTGTCCAGCCAGCCTAAAGGACAGGGGCTGGGGTATTTATCCACTGACTCCTCCAGGCATGGGTTTAGGGTTGACCTGGGCCTGCCTCCAAGTCGGCAAAGCAGGCTTCAGGGACCAGGGACGGCTCCCAGGAGGTGCAGGTGGCGGCAGTGGGAAGCGGGGCAGGTGTGCACCTGCAGCGGCAACCCTGGTGCTTCTGTCCCCCTCCTTGCCCAGGTGTTCTCCCTCGATGCCCCCCATAGCACCTACAACCTCTACTGCCCCTTCCGGGCAGGGGAGCGCGCACGGCAGCTCGAGGTGCTGGCCCAGCAGATTGCCACGCTGTGCGCCACGCTGCAGGAGTACCCGGCCATCCGCTACCGCAAGTGGGAACCCCACCGAGCCCTACCCCGATGCCGCCCCCTCCCACTTAACCACGAGCAGCACCTAACCTTTAACCTCTCTTGTGACCCCAGCCCCGGCCCTCACCCTGGTCCCTGTCTCCCACCTTCAAACCCATCCTTGATCCCATCCCCTGATGATGTCTCCCATGTCTGGCCTCCCCGCCAGGGGCCCAGAGGACACAGCCCAGTTGGCCCATGCCGTCCTGGCCAAGCTGAACGCCTTCAAGGCAGACACCCCCAGTCTGGGCGAGGTGAGGGGACGTGCTTGGGAGGTGAGGGGCAGCCCCAGCCAGCTCAGGGTCAGTGCCTTATTCCTGCCCTAAACCCCACCCCAGGGCCCAGAGAAAACCCGCTCCCAGCTGCTGATCATGGACCGGGCGGCTGACCCCGTGTCCCCACTACTGCATGAGCTCACGTTCCAGGCCATGGCCTATGATCTGCTGGACATAGAGCAGGACACATACAGGTCTGCAGACTTGGAAGCCGCCCCCATCCTTGCCACCGACCTGGTTCCCCAGTCCTCAGCTCCCCTGACCCCCAGGCTCCCTCCTTCCTCCCCAGATATGAGACCACCGGGCTGAGCGAGGCGCGGGAGAAGGCCGTCCTGCTGGACGAAGACGATGACTTGTGGGTGGAGCTTCGCCACATGCAC